TCGGAAGCGGGCGCCATTGATCGCCCGGAGGCCCCACACTGCCCATCCAGTGGGAGTGCTGCGGTGACCTCCTGAAGGGCCGGACTCATCTGCAGTCGCCTTTGGCCTCAAGCAGCCTCACAACTGCAAGTGCTGGATGCTCTAATTCTGATGCATGGCCTGCATCAGCAGTCAGCCTGACAGTCTTCCCCAGGGATCCTGGACGTGGCTTCGGAATCCTCGGCACAGAGTTCCAGGCAGCCAGGACACGTCAGAGTCAGCGTGTGGAGGAAAACCCACCTGCCGTCCCACCTGGGAGCTTCTGTCTCAGCAGGACTTGCAGCTGGGGGGAGCTGCAGGCCTCCTGCCTACTGTCCCTCTGCCACAGACTGTCGGGTCCCTGGGCACACGTGCCCCTCTCTAGAGAGCAATGGGCAGGAAGGCCTCTCAGGCTCCTTCTGGCTGAAGGGACCCCCTTGGCACCTCTGTGGTCCTCTGGGTCCTACCCTCCCAGGCAGTGGGGAGAGGATGGGCAGAACAAGCACTTCCAGATGATGACGTCACCTGGCCGTGCTGCAGGAAGACCATGCAGCCGCCCCTCAGGTAACTCACTACAACCCTCCAGTGTGGCCCTGCCCTGCTCTGTCCTGGTGCTGGGCAGGCACTCACCAGTGCCCCACTCCCCTCCCACTGGCCCGCATGTCTCTTAGGGCCTTGGTAAAAGTCTCCACGCTTTTTATTTTATTTTATTTTATTTTATTTTATTTATTTTTTTGTTTCTTTAGAACATGTGCACTTACCAGAAAGAGACAGAGAGGGAGGGAAACTGAGAAATCACCCCCCAGGGGGAATGGCCATGCCACAATTCCCTCTCCTCCACTCTCCTCTCAGGATTTCGGGCATGCATGCACATGCACCCAATGTGTTTTTCTAGCTCCTAGGTCCAGGAGTCAAACCACACAGATGGTCACGTGGGGTCTAGCGCCTTAACCACCACACCACCTGCTGGCCTGTGTCTGTACATTTTTAGAGGACTTCAGAGGCCCTGCAGAGTCTGGTGTGCTCCGACTTCACTGCTTCCTTCTGCATACCAAAGCAAACAGGAACACCCTACACCTCTAGACCCCCCAGCATCGCTCCTTCACGGGGTCTTCCCTGTCCCCTCGCAATGCTTTTACCACCTCCATCTGCCCCCAACTCTGTGGGTAGCCCTGGGACTGTGCCCACTCATCCTACCACCTCTGCCATGGCCAGGTGGGCCCACATGCACTTCCACCTGCTTCCTGTAGGTGGCCGTTCTGGTCAGTCCTGTTCTGCTAGTACCCGACACGCGGCAGGTGCCCCTGGAGTGTTCAGCAGCTAATAGTGATTGCCAAGTATCAGCTGGGGAAGAACGCAGGCATCTTTTTCTGTTCGTTCCCCCTTCACTGTGTTTTTAGCCCCCTTTTTTTCCCTGTATATACACACAAAATACTTCTTTTTGTAAATCACATTTAAAGGAATGACGTGCCTAATGTGAACAGTACAAAGCTAAAACCAAAGGCCAGCAGGTGGCGCTGGAGGTTAAGGTGTCTGGATCCCACAGAACCAGCTGAACCCTTTGAGTCCTGGACCCGGCAGCTTGAAAATCATGTCAGACGCGTGTATGTACATGCCGGAAATCCCAAGAGGAGAGTGGGGGAGAAGAGACCGGTGTGGTTGTCACCCCTGGGAGGTGATTTCTCCCTTTCCTTCTCTCTCTCTCTCTCTTTCTCTCTCTGGAGAATGCATGCATCTAATAGCAAAACTATGTATCTATATACACAAACACACACACACATTAGGTCATCAGAAAAGTCACGACATGTTTTCACACAGTAGGACACAGAAAAATACAACATGACTTTTCTGACGACCCAATAGTACCAAGTATATAAAAGACAAGGTGGAAACCCCCCTGCGGCCAGTGCTGGTCACACCCCTGCAGTTAGCAGGTGGCAGGATCTCTCCTTCCCCACGTGCGCAGCCCCACGTTGGCTGGCTCGTGTGTTTCACTAGAGTGACCTCTGGCTGGACACGCTGCCCGGCACCCCACCTTGCCGTGAATCGCCCTGCGCCCTCGCGCTACTGGCCCACGCCCAGCCTCCCCGTCCAGGTTTCCTCTGTGCAGAGAGACTGCAGTTCACTGGACCTGCCCCGTCCACGAGTCCGGTTTGTATCCAGCTTTTAGCTTCTCCCATGGTGCCACCGTGGCCCTCCTTACGGTCGTAGCTTGACACACTCAGGATTCCCAAGAGCGGCCAGGCTGGGCCACGGAAGGGGCCCTTTTCTGGATGGTGGCCCTGCCTGCTCCATGAGACGCAGCCCAGAGGTGCCGTCTGGGGTGCATCAGGAAGGATCAGATTGTGGGTGCAACAGAAAACGTCACAGGAGAGGAGAGGCTGGTCCTGGCAGGCTGGCTGTCTCCGTTGTTCCCACTCCCTGCCCCTCCAGGGCTCCAGAATTGGGTGTGGGGGAAGCAATAACAGATCAGTAACGAACTGCACTGATTCGTGCATGCCAGCACGTCTGTAAACGGCCCTTCATTAAACTCTCTTCGTATTACTCACTGTGGCGTACCAGCTGGTTCCTGAGGGCCCTGACGAGCAGTGACAACAGCTCTAATTTTTTTTTAGAGGTTTTTGCTACAGGACACGTGTACTCGCCAGAAAGACAGAGAGAAAAAGAGAGACAGAATGAGAGAAATCACCCCCAGGGGAGATAGCCACGCCGCAATCCCTTCTCCTCCATTCTCCTCTCGGGATCTTGGGCACGCACGCACACGCGCCTGGCGTGAGTTTAAGCCACCGGGTCCGGGACGCGAACTGCGGTCGACTACGTGGGAGTCCAGCAACATAGCCATTACGCTAACTGCTGGTTCCCAGGACTGGCTCCATTCTCACGTTCCCTGGCTCACGCACTCCGCTTTCCCGGAGCCTCCTTTCCGGCCCAGCCCTCTGCATTCTTCTATTCACTCCTCGGAGCACACAGGGCAGGTGCCAGTGAGCCGAGACTCTGCAAGGGACGCAAGCCCTGGAAAGCCGTTCTCTCCGACTCACAGCCCTGGGGCCCGGAGATGCTGGCAGGTAGACAAGGAATTCCAGGCCTGTAGGGACTGAGGTGGAAACACAGGTGGAGGCTCAGGGCAGGGACGAGACAACACGGGGTAGAGCCACGGCTTCTAGAAGGAAAGACGCTGGCTCAGAGAGGAGCCCCTCCTCTTCGGAGGGAGAAATGCTTCTGGAGATTGAGAGTGGGACACAGCACACCCCCACCCTGTGGCTTTGGACACTGTGAGACAAGGCACCCGTATTGCAGTTCCCAGGGCTCCTCTGCCATCTGCTGTGGCCTCCCTGTCACCTCCCATATGTTGGGCCTTTCCCAGAGGGAGCCTGATGGGCAGACAGGAAACGTGATTGCCACCCCAGCCACTTCGCAGCACGCAGATCTGTCCTGGCCTCCTTCCCCACGCCCAGACGCTTCCCGGCATCCAGGGCCCCCAGCAACCTGTCTGAGCCTGAGCTCCAGGCTAGTGCAGGAGAGGGTGGGCGGCGCTCATGCCCCGGGGTTGCTACTGTTCAGGCCCCTTTCTCAGTCTGCTCCTTCCAGGCTTCTGGGACACAAGGTGGGTGGTCTGGGAGGCAACGAGGCTGAGTGGGTGGGCGGCATCCGGCCTGAGTGTGCTTGGGCCTCTGACCCCGAAAGCCACAACCTGGACCATCTCACTGGCCTTGCCTCTGGGACCAGGCTCCTCTCATCCCTGCTGCTTCATTCCCTGCGAAGGCAACAGCAGCCAGGAGCCTTTGCCTGGAGCCTCTGCTGGGTTTCCCACCGCAGAGGCCTCATCAGTCATTGAATCTGCAGTAGGTGGGTGAGACAGTGCCGGGGAGGAGCCTCGGGGGTCCCAGCCCTAGGAGGGAAGACCCACGCTCTCTCATTCGGAACCATGGCTCACTCAAAGGCTCCTTTCTGGCTTGGCAAGGGTGTCTTCCACCGAACCCTGCTCCCCGCCGGGCTGGGGCTGGGCTAGGCAGTGGCTATGAGGGCCCAGATTTTTGTCTGTTTTGTTTTTGTTTTTTTGAGAGGTTTTTGCAATAGGGCACGTGTGCTCATCAGGTAGACAGAGAGAGACAGACAGAAAGTGAGAACTCACCCCCCAGGGGGGATGGCCACGCCGCAATCCCTTCTCCTCCATTCTCCTCTCGGGATCTTGGGCACACATGCACATGCGCCCGGCGTGAGTTTTAAGCTACCGGGTCCGGGACGCGAACCGCGATCGACTACATGGGAGTCCAGCAACATAGCTATTATGCTAACTGCTCATCCCGAGGGCCCAGTTTTTGGATGTTGCCTCCAGCCCCCTGGAGCTGACAGATGACAGATGATGGGTGGGGCGGCCACAGCCTGCTTGAAGGAAGCTCTTCTCCAGCCTCTACATCCCCACACGGTGGGGGTGGGGGTGCGGGCGGGGCGAGGA